ATACCTTGACAACCGTAGCTATGCAGAATAACCATACATTTCAGAATTAATGGTTATACCCCTATAACCCACAAAAAAGGTAATATTACGCTAATTGGCTTTTTAAGGGTTTTGGAGGGTTTTTCAAGGGTTCTGTCCGTGATTTGTCAGTTATGATATCGACGGTATTCAGCTTTAACATGCAGATATGCCATGAAGGCTGGACAGGTGCAATCGCCCATCCCAGCTGCTGTTTTGATCGAAGATTGATGGGTGGGCCACTTTTGTGCTGGCCTTCTCCACTGGTGCGCCCTCCCGCTTTGCATTTGTTGTGCAGGTTGCATCAAGCTTGCTGTGTGGCAAACATGTTGTTTTTCCAAGTGGTGTCCCTGCTCAAGTTCCGTTTGAAACAGTTGGGGTCATGGCAGCTTCTGTGCTGACTGAATGCTCACCTGCTGGACTGGAGCTAGCCCACAAAGCAGGACACCCTTATAATGAAATCACCACCTTCACCATCGAAGCTCATTTCTTCCGTGTTTTGCCTTGAGGACTCATGGACCTTGACGATAATTTCTGGAATGCTTCGGCTGAAGCACTGTACCCAGATCCCGAGGACAGGAGTGCTTCATGCAGTAGTATATTCCTCGACCAACATACAAACAATTTGAAGGACATTCCTTCACCTGACGATTTCATCATATCTGTCATGCTCAACATCAAGGAAGATGGAATCTGCAAACACTTCTTGGATTTGTTTTGCAATGGTGGAGGCTCGAATCCGCATGCTTTGCTGTTGTGCGGCCAGCAGATGAAAGCCTTAATACAGTATATTCCCTGTAGGAATGCTGGTGATCAAGGGCTTCCTCTCGTCTGGCGACTGAGCCTACATGTGGTGAGCTGGGTAGCAGGGGCATGGGTTCCGGCAGGTATACTGCAGTTGGCACGAGTCTTCGGGAAGCTGCAGGAACCTGCTACGTTGCAAAGTGCAACAGGGGCGAGCAAATGAGAAAGGTATGGAATTATGCCATCCCAAAACCCCGAGCTGTCGATTTTTTCCTCTGATGCAAATTGTACCCTTCGGCTTCGCAGGTCGTCGCATGCGACTGCCACCTCCGGGTGGCCTTTTGATCTTGATCTTCCGAAGGCCGGACCTGACATGATGATATAGATGAGCTTTTGAAAATTGCAGGAGCATCTTTACCTTCCTCCTCGTGGCCTTCAGTTTTGGCATCATACATGTGCATGGGCCCCTCACTTGCATTTGATAACCTTACATGTAATGTGCATCTCTAGCAAACATAATATATTCGTATTGCAACTTCGCCCAAGGAGCTTGGCTGGAGACTTTTCTCTGCAAGGAGGCTGGCATTCTGTTTCTTTGTTTAAAGGTCATTTGGGACTCATGCATCAACGTGTCCGAACAGTAGTCGAGATCCAGAGTTGTTGGAGCCCCGGTCTCGGTTTTAGTCATGCTGGAAAGGTCGGGGCATGCATGAGTTGGCTTGGGCAACCCCTGGATTGCAGGATTTTGGGCTGCGGGAACTCTTAGTGTACAGGCTAGCTTTGATCATGGCTGCAGAGCCGGTGGTTGAACCCGAGCCCGAAGGGCCTCTTCGTGTGAGAAGGCACCGCTCCGCTTTGTGGCCTGAGGATGGGGCTTTGAGCAAAGCCCTGGAGGAGAGTGGGGCTGTGCGAGCTGCTTTCCGAACGAACCGCAATCATTTGCTAGCATGGCCATCGCCGGAGTTAGTGGGTGTTGCTTCTCTGAAGTCTATGGCTTTGAATGTTGCGGTGCTAAGTGTTGCTCTGGAAGTCTGGGCTTCAACAAGCCCCATCTGCAAGACTATGTCGGTGGACTGGCTCAAGGCCGAGGCTTCTAGGCTAGTTAATTCGAGGCTAGTTAATCTTTAAGATTTCCTGGGACCCATCGAACCTTGTAAGTTTATCAAACCCGATTAAAATTTGCCATCATCCGAACCTTAAACTAGGGAAGCCCTAAACGAGAAACCCGGAATTCCCAAATACTAGGATACAAAAAAAACCCTCAGTAGGGAACGTGCAACGTGCCGGGGATGATCAGTCCGTATCTAGACGCAATCAATATATGCAATGTGCCCACAAAGCCGATATATTAGTTACTATATCTAATAAATTTACTTTAAGAACCCAAAACCTACTTTTTTGTAGGGTCCCTATAAATCCCATATTAGGGTTTATTTATAATAAGAACCTACAAAAAAGTGGGTTTTGGGTTCTTAAGGTGTGTGTCTTAAGCCGCTCAGGTGACCCAAGTGCACAAGCTCTTGAACCCCGGCATATCCAGCAAAGCAGTTGGGATCTATGTCGATGCCTGGGGCCTGAAGCGACTCGCGACTTTGGCTATGCGCCGATGGAAGGCACCGATCACGACTTTGCGAGTGTCTAGACTTGAGTTTAGTGTGTTATGAGGGGCCGTTCAGTGCTGATCTTCTGAGCAGTGTTGCTATAGTCATGTCCAACACAGGATCGATCTCTACATGTCCTCTTCCATATCATGACGGAGGCTTGGGGAGAGTATGCTCCTGAAGCCGATACTGGCGATATGGTTGCTGAGAATGATGATTACTTGGATAACGGGGATGATGATGCTGGGGCTGCAGCAGCCGATGATATCCCCGAAGATGCAGATGCAGGGGCTCCAATGAGGGCGCTATGTGATCTGGAAGCAGCGGCTCCTGAAAATGCCGAGGCTCTAGATTCAATGGCTCCAGAAGCCAGTGATGTCCCCGAGGTCGCAAATGCAGTGGCTCCAGAAGCCAGTGATGTCCCCGAGGTCGCAGATGCAGTGGCTCCAGAAGCCAATGATGTCCCCGAGGTCGCAGATGCAGTGGCTCCAGAAGCCAGTGATGCCGCTACGGTTTCGGCTGCCTTAGATGACCAGCTTGTTTCGATGCAGGGTCAGCTGGAAGCCCTACAGCACCTAGGTAGCACGTTACATCGGCCATGTACCCTAAACCCCAAGATCCTAAAGCTTATGTTTCAAAGTTAAGGGTGGAACTGGCACGTCGTCGAAGCCTTCGGCTATCCCGCTTCTTGGCATTGATTCTATTCGAAATCTGGAATATATTTCCAATGCACAAAGTGTGAATGCAGCAAAGGTTTCGATCCGTCTACTACAGACACCTGCCCCTGTGACATCATGTCCGTTGTGCCCGCCGAAGATGGTGGCTTAATCGACATCAGTGATGATGAGACTGGGGATACGAAGGACCTGAAGCTTTAAGGGGATCCTGCAATACAATAGTGTCCCACAAACCCTGCCAGGAGAATGATTCTTCCCAGCCAGAACCTCTTCATCCTCATCCCGAGCCCGAAAGTGCTCAGAGTGAGCCTGGCGAAGAAGCCCCCGCTATAGAGTGCAGCCCGCCTCCCAATGACCCAGGTGTCAGCTCGGAGAAGGCGGCTGTGGACGAAGCACCTGCCGAGGCTGAGGCAAAGGGCAGCCCTGCAGACGAGTTTGATGTTGCAGAGTACGAGGCGGTTTGTTTGTTGCAGGGCTATTATAAAGAGAATAGGAAGTCTAACTATAACTATATATAGGGTTTAGGGTTTAGG